ACCTACCCAGCCACCCACCCAACCAGCCACCTACCCAGCCACCCACCCACCTACCCAGCCACCCACCCAACCAGCCACCTACCTACCCAGCCACCCACCTACCTAGCCACCCACCTACCCAGCCACCCACCCACCTACCCAGCCACCCACCTACCCAGCCACCCACCCAACCAGCCACCTACCCAGCCACCCACCTACCCAGCCACCCACCTACATACCTGTGTCATAACCTTGTCTTTCTCAGACAGAGCCTGGCCTGTGGTCAGCACTCAGCTCTGGTCTGTCCCATGGATAGGGAATGCAGCCGTGGCTATTCCACAGCCCCTGTGTTATTTATGTCTGAGGATGGAGCTGTCCCACATTCAGGCCAGGTGTTCAAGGCTGCATACCACCTTGGAAGATGCAGCTCATTCTCCAAGAGCAGCTAGATGATACCCTCATTTCCCAGCCTTCAGCTGTGACCACAGCTTCCCGGGCGAGTGGCGGTCCCTTCCCCAGTGCTTTTCACGTCTCATGCAGGGCTACAGTACACACTGGTTTGCACTCGTGGCACCTGTGAACATGTGTGCACACCCATATTTATTCTCAAACTCATGGTTTCCATCTGTGTGGGGCACATAGAGCCTTTTGATAGCGTGTACCCTTCATGGGCCTGAGATGGAATCAGCTCCTCCTAGCCAAGGTTTAAGATACCCTGGTGCCAAAGTCAGCTTCCATTGTTTGGCTAAGCACAGCCGCCCTCTACAGCCTCCCTCCTGCCTCCATCCACCCCACCCGCCTCCCCGTAGGAACCTTGCCCAGGCCTGTAATCAGCCTGGCTCCTGGACAGACAGCAGGGGGCACCGTGGGCTCAAACAACCAGCTCAAGAGGAAACCAAGGAGAGAAGGCTTAGCCTCAGCCCCTGTCACCCGACCATGGTACCTGTCACCCAGCCACGGTCCCTTTCACCCAGCCACGGTCCCCGTCCCCAGCCACGGTCCCTCTCACCCAGGCACAGTGCCTGCTGCCCATCACCGGCCACAGTGCCTGCCTCGAGGCCATTCTCCGCTCACACGTTGGTACTCCCGCCGAGCAGACATTCCCGCACCCCCTACATCCGTCACACAGCACGCCCATCGAGCCGCGTGCTTTATGCGCTCCGGGCTCCTGTGCTGCTCACATCCCTCACCGCTTACCCCAGCCATCATATCCGTGATGTAGCCCCAGAACAACTCCGTAAGCCTCACCACATCCACCTCCCTACCCAGCACATAACCTGATGAGACAGCACACACACCATGTACCCCCCCCCCCCCCCCCCCCCCCCCCCCCCCCCCCCGCCCTGTACGCCTGCCCCTCACGCCTCTCCTGACCACGCTCACCCCACCTCCTGCTCCCCACCCCCACTTAAGATATGTAGCTTGCTTTCTGCTGTGTGCTAAACTTCATACATCTACAACCTGTAAGACATACACACGCGTGTGCCCACTCCGTCCAGTGTGGACCTCCTACCACATACCACACACTTGCCACACACAGCCCTAACTCACCACACACACCACACACATAGTTCTGTGTTCCCATGCCCCATTACGTTACACACACACACACACCCACACACACACACATATGCCTGAATTACATGCCACCGATTCACGTATAACCCGTTTCCCACAGCACGCTCTTACACTGCAAGGCCCACACCTGCACATCCCACACGGCACCCTGCGCATGGCATGCGCACCACAAGCCATCCTGAAAGGCCTGGCCATCCTCCCAAAGCTTTAAGAGAGAAGTCGAAGCTAGGCGCTCTTCAGCACCTGGACTGTGCGGCCCACACAGAGAGGAAGGCATGCCAGTGTGAAGAGCAGCGGGGCAGGTGGGGCACGGTGTGCTTCATGTAGGGCAGAATGTGTGTGCATGTGTATGTCTGTGTATGTGTGTGTCTGCATGTGTATGTGTGTGTCTGTGTGTGTCTTTGCGTGTCTGTATGTGTATGTGTGTCTTCTGTGTTTGTCTGTGCGTCTGTCCATCTTCTTTGGGCAGTCTTGTCCCCAGCCATGCTTCCCTAGATCATGGCCAGGGGCAGAGTGCCACTGTCTTGCTTGTCTCTCTTCCTCTCAGAGCACGCATACACCAAGTCCCCCAAAGTCCCATAACCAGTGCCCCCCCCCCGCCTCCACTAACCCACTAGCTGGTCCCAGGTTCCACCTGTCCCGACTTAGCACCTGTGTGGGGATCCCACCCTTCCGTCCTTCTTCCAAGTGTCATGATGCCCAGAGAGTACAGGACCTTTCCTTCCAGGAGAGCTGACGGGGATTTGGGATGGGGGAGAGCCCTGAGGGAGCAGCTTCTGGGGCTGGAGGCGGCTGGAGTGCAGGTGACCCTGTTGGTGAGTGGTTCAGCAAAGTTAGTGCCTTGGCTGGCAAGGTCAAGGAAGTCTCATTCCTGTCCTCAAGGTGGTGGCTTTTCCATTCTGTCTGGTCAAACTGAGGTCCTCACCTGAGAGGCAGAAAGGAGAGGTGCAGAAGGCCTGCCGATGAGGCACCCAGGCTTCAACCCTGATGATTAGTCAGGGGACAGTAGTTACCCCGCTGGTAAGGCACAGAGGGGTGTGGAAAGGGGGGCAGGGGCAGGGAGTCCAGAGGTGACCATGTAGGGACTGCTCTTGTCAGTCATGTGATGCACCTGGTCGGGGGTGGGGGAAGGGGTGCTTTGGCTTCAGTTTGGCTGTCTCCAAAAGGCAGGCTCTGCAAGGTGTGAGAGGCTCAGACCCTGAGACTCATGCCTGGGTGTGGGTTGGGCACACTGAGCCTTGGCAACCACAGCTGAGCAGGGGGGGCTAACCTTCCCTCCCAGCTGTGCAAGGGCTAAGGCCCAGGGAGGCGGAAAGCCCTGCCCAAGGTCACACGCTACAACTGAACATTCGGGAGGGCTCAGTCCCAGCCCTCAGCCTCTGAGCCGCAGCCTGAAGCCTTGGCTTGGCTTCAGGCCATCTCTCAGGTGGCCTAAGATTTACTGATCTCAGCCTAGGTATAAAAAGAGGAAGGCAAGGCTTGCTGCAGCAGGAGAGATAGGGGCTAAACTCTGGGAGGCTCTCCCATTCTTAGGAGCCTGGGGTGGGCAGCTTCCCCAAGTCTGATGGAGAACAGACCCTGTTTCTGTGCAAGGTGTGACAGCCGTGCTCCTAGGCAGAAGTATGTGTGAACTGACCTGGGAAGGCACAAGCAGCTCAAAGAAATGGGTGATTTATTTTCAATGTGAGCTAGAAAATTAACTCATTAAAACTTTATTTGCTGCCTCCCGGCACCAAATGTTGGCCTGGTGCTTTGGCGTAAACATAAAGCTGTGAATTTATCCTTGGATAGCCACCGTTTGAGCTGGGCCTCAGCGACAGTCACCCTCTGGATGGCCTATTTCCATGGCATTACTTGGCTTCTGCAAACACCGTGCTGGGAAAGATTAAACAAACCGAATCTAGTCACTGCCTTATCTTCCTTAACCGAGGCCAGGGCTGAGTGGGTAATCTGCAGGAGTCCGTAGTCTCCAAATCGTATTTAATTGGTACAGGTGGCAGTTGGGGGTGTGTGGGTGAGCACACACCTGGGCTCTGGGCTAATGTGGGTCCTCAGACCCACTGGCCATCCTGGAGTCACATGTGGCAGGAGGGCTCTGTGAGCCCCATATTGGAGGATAGAGTGGTACTCTAGGGCACAAGCCTATTGCAGGGCAGATGCAAAATGGGGCCCTTGGGGGTGAGAGTGGCCCTGCCGACATTCCCAGCTGTGAGGCCTCTCAGTGTGGGGCCTTACAGTATTGTCCTCTCTGAAGGCAACTCCCAGCTCCTGGGTTGTAAAGGGTGAATCTTCCAAGATGTGTTATTGGATTCAAAACTCAAAAGTTAGAAACTCAAAAGGAGACATTTGCATGCCCCCGTCCCATGGTCTCCTCAGGAGCAACGGCGACCAGCGCCACCCAATTTCCAGAGCCACCTCTCCCCTTTCCGCCTGGGTGTGATGCTGTCTCCATAAAAACTGTTCGAGTCAGTGTGTGGAAGCGAGCCTGGTGTGACATCTCACATGAACAGCTCCTAGAAGGCCTCTGCCTCCCCTCCTGGACCGCCTTGACAAGCCGAGAGCTGAGTGTGGACACAGCAAGGCCTTTTACTCCCACCTCATGCCTAACTGCTCTCTCTTCCTGTTTATAGCTGAGTCCCCAAGTGCTAAGGGGACAGAGAGCCTGCAGACAGGGTCCATCGGTGCTGCGAGGTATAGGAGGGCCCTGTCTGCTACCGTCTGGGGATTTTGTAGGCTTGCTGCCCTTGTCTGCCCACCCACAGTCCTGCCTCTTGCCTCGAGGGGCAGCTTCCTGTTGGATTGCTCCACAGACAGAGGAACAAACAACAGACGCAAGGGTCACCGGCCCCTCACCCATCTACCTCAGCCATACTTGTTTCCAAAGGGAGGGGACCGAGTGGGTATCAGACAGCCAGGGGCTCTGCTAGGATGCAGGCCCTGCCCACCACCAGCTCAGGGGGTCCCAGCCTGGGGCCAGGGCCGCCCTGTGCTCTGGGGCTGACACTGTGGCCAGGGAAAGGAGGGTCCATCGTGCCTTCTCTTCTGTTTAGTTCTTACCGCCAGTGTATTCAATCCTCTGGCATGGCTCCCCTGCTCCCACAGCTCCCCTGCCTCCAGCCTTCCATCTGGCAACAGAGTGGAAAGGCAGATTTAGGCTCGAATCGTTGTTCTGCTGAACCGAGAGTGTGACCTTGGGCGGGCTGACTCACCTGTCTCCCAGCAACACCAGTGAACCATGCTTGCCTTTCTGGCCTCCTCCCAGCAGAGGGGGGGCAACCCTAAACTGTGAGGGATGTGGTCACTCAGTCTGCTCTGTCATGGCATCCTGTTAGTGCCAGGGCACTTTCACTACCAGCCTCTCTTGGCCTCTGCTTTTTGGCAGGTCTTTTCAAATTACATGGAAACTCAGTGTCCAGCCCCCTGTGACAGAGAGCATTGGGGTGAAGTTGCAATGAAGATTGCCAGGCCACATTGCTGCCTGCTAGGGGTGCTGGGGTGCCAAGGGCCATGTGCATGTCAGCCAGTGTCCAGGGCCACAATGGGGACCATGCCTGGGAGACCCTTCTCCAACCCGTTTACCCAAATATCTGCTTCCTTGGTCGTGCTTCTGCAGGTCTTGACTCCAGCCTCTGTAGGCAGGGCATCTTATCCAGGCTCCTTTGGGGCAGCCTCAGCCTCCTCTGCCTAACGGGGCCATTTCACACTTCCCTGGTCAGCTGATTCCAACGGGGCAGGCGCTTCTCTGTTCTGGGAGCACCTGGAGCCTGATCCATTCATCATCTTCAGCTCCTCAACTGGATGCCTCCGGATCCCTGCTGGGCCACAGGAGCCCTGCATCCCAGAGTGTCCCCAAACTGGAGGGGATGGTTATGGGACACAGGGTAGAGTTAGGGGCTAGGACTAGGCCAAAGACAGATTTTGCTACCA